TACAGAATTGCCAACTTAAATTCAAATCGCTCCTCTTAGTTTAAAAACAGAGTATAAGTATGGAACAGAAAAAGAACCTTTAGCTTTAAAGCAATATTCACAAATTTAAAGCGGATGTCCAATAATTGAGGATTCTGAATTTGGTTTTTAGGTCCCGACGGTTTATTAGGAACCGATAGTATCATCGAAATTAAATATCTTGCTTCAAAACTGACTACGAAAAAATCAAGGGTTTGCAACATAATAAAATTTGCAATTATTAATGATGGCAAAATGCAATTAAATCGAAATCATAATTGTTATTATTACCAGGTTCAGGGGCAACTTCACGTAACTAAACGAAGTATTTGTTTTTTTATTATTTTGATACCTTTAGGTATGTTTGTAGAAAAAATAAAAAAAGATGATAGATTTTGGTGTATATGGAAAGCAAACTATAGCAATTTTATTTAGATTGTATAGTACCCGAGATCTTAGATCCACGTTTCGCTAGAGGTTTAGATTTTAGAAATCCCAGTAGAAATCCGAGTAGAAAACCGAGTAGAAAACCGAGTAGAAATCCGAGTAGAAATCCGACCAATAGTCAATGAAGATGATTATTTTTATTTCTTCTTTTATTAATAATAAATCATTTTACTCAATGTTATTTTTATATATTTTTAGTACTGGAAAACAAATTTTTCTACACCCAAATGGATATTAGCTTATCTACGTACAGAATACAAAACGAAAAAATATGCTATTGCGTAAAATGAGTTATACTTGTGTAGAATCGATAAATAATAGCATTTCTATGTTTATTTGATCTATATTTAGAAATAAATAATTATAAATTTTAATAAAACAATATGAAATCCATTTAATTTAAATTCACTCTTGTTACACAAACTACTATTTTCTACACCCACATGGATATGATTTTTGCTATACCCACATGGTTATTAGCTAATCTACGCACATACTACAAAACAGAAAAGTATTCCATTGCGTTCAACTGAATATTTCATATCCATTCTACCTAGTAAGAATACTACAAAACAGTTAAATCCACCATTTAGCTTATATTTTGGTCACCCGGTTACTATTATTTTTTAAGTAACAATTCTGTCAAACTAACTGTCAGTATATTTTTGAATTATTGAGATTCAATATACTGTCATGAAATTCCTAATCCGACCCTGTGTCCAAAGCAAGCGCGACCTTCAGCTGGCTCCGACTCATGCTCGAGGCGACGGAATGTTCTGGGAATGCCGCTGAGGCTCGAGAAACAGGTAGAGTGTGTCGTTGAGTCAGAGATGAAATTTTCGGGACCGTCTAGAGACTTCTAGTAGCAGAGTTGGACTTAATATAAATAGCCCGACTCATCGTCGGGCTGTTTAGTTTAGTACAGAGTATTGGAATGAAAAGTTAAATTGTAATAAATAATTTAGAATTGTTAGTCAGTGTCTAAGTATTATATAAATTAATTAGTACGTCTGAAATAAATTGTAAATAGTGTGTTTTAAATAAATAACCTATAAAATAAATTAGACTATGGTTACAATACGTAAAAATGAATATTTCTTATGTATAATCGATAAGTAATAGCATTTCTATTTTTATTTCGTCCAAATTTACAAACAAATCTTACATTTTAATTAAACCATATAAAACTAATTTAATTACAAGTATTAGAACTAAAATGGCAATTGTGGCGATGGCGTGAGGGCACGGATGAGTTTGTTTCCAAGCAAGAGGCCTGAGTTTAAATCAGGGCTGGGGACTAATTAAATTATTTATTTTATTTTATAAATTAGTAAAAGTCATACATTATTTAAAAATTATTTATTTTGTCTTAATGACATACTTTTTTAAATTTGTAGAATTTCGTTAGTGTGTCGTAGAAAAAATATACTGTATAACTCGAGTGGATTGTCCGTATTGCACTCAGACGATTAACCACTCCGTCTACGACGTCGTTTTCAAACTTCGTCTTCGTGCGATATGGCCATCATATCCAATTTTGTTGCACAAACTACTATTCACGCACAGACTACAAAATGAAAAAATACACTATTGCGTTCAACTCGACGAATATATTTCATATCCATTTTAGGTAGTGAGAACACTGCAAAAAAAATGAAATCCACCAATCACAGTTTATATATTGGACACCCACTACTATTATTTTAAACATTTTAAATAAGTGGCAATTCTGTCAAACTAATTGTCAGTATATTTTTTAGGTATTGAGATTAAATATACATTAAAATATTTAAAATGAGTTATTTTTGAGTAGAATCCATAAATAATTTAAAATGTTAAAACTTATTAAATATTAAAAATACTACCCATAAATAAATTAGTTATATAACTACACAACATATTTTTTCTCAGTGTACTAAAATATACTTAAAACGAATATTTTCTTGTTGTTTTTCAGCTCATTCCCTCTCTGGTGAACAAATCTAAAATTCAAGATTCAAACTCCTTCTTAACAGAAATACTTGTTTTAAACATTAAGCATTTTAACCATGTGTGCATAGATTTAGTTGATGATACTGAAACAGCAAGGCATGTAATTAACACCCACTAACCACTAGGCATCTAAGCAATGACCGTGAGGTTTTCGAAAAGAATATAACGACACTTTGACTGGCTTTTAATAACTAGGTATAAGTAGATACATCTTCGCCTTGTTCACGAGGAGAAATTTACTATGTGTAGGTATATTGAGTATACAATGTGATTTTTGTTCATTGAATCAAAAAGAAACTGATTTTATTTTTGAAGGCAATGAATATTTCATATTATTATGCCTTTAATAATCTTATCTTGGACAATATTCACATTAGTAACATAATAATCCTCATTTATCAGAAAATAGTTGCAACCTCCAGACTTTTGTCCATCTTTAATTATTTGGGATGATATCCCTCTTTTTTTCGTTAAAAAAATGTTATAACTACCTTCAAATACTTGCAATATTCCCCACTTATAAAATAAAATGCCACTGTTAACACTTCCATCATATATACCTCTATAATTTAAGCGGCACTGATTGAAAAGTTGTTAAAAATCATGTTCTGTTAGGGAAATTAAACAACCACAGAAAAATTCGAACGAATGAAGATGTCAAAGACATCGATAAGTTAACAAAAGATAACCAACCATCCATAACAATTACCGAAATCTTAGTCGAAGCCATTTCACTTTCTTTTGTGTATCGTAAAATACATTTGTGTCAAGAAAATGGTATGGACGGTGCTGAGAAAGAGAGACTTTTATGAAATGAATACCTAGAAATTCCTATTTTGAAGTTTCTAATAGGAAAACAAATGAGGAAGGATGGATACCTCCTAGTGACTTGTTTTGTATACCTTCCAAAAAGTTATCTCTTGGATACAAACGATCTTTTTTAACGTTCTTAAAAGAGATATTTCAGAATAGGAATTTGTAGGTAATATACAGATGATTATTATTATTTATATAGGGTCTCCAAATGTAATGCGTTTCTTCTACGTACTTATACAGGGTGTTTCATTGGGAAAGGGAAATATTTTAACCTTATATAGAGGTAACACAGGGCATCACAAAAACCCATTGTATGGGTTTTGCAACCTTTATAACTGAGTTACAGGGTGTTTTTTGAATCTGGCCCATTTTTTCCATTCTCCATAACTTTTGAATCAGTCATTGGCGACCAGACGATTGGCGACTGTCAGTTGGTAGCAATGACTCTGAAGTTTCTAGAAAATAGGCAACATTTAAATACATTAGAGATGTCTCAACGACTCGGTCGTGGCTACCCGGTCGTAGTCGTAAACGACTGAGTCTCTTGGATGAAACCAAAGCTTAGAAAAGCTAAAGAATCTCTTAATCTCTTACTGCAATTATATCTTTTGTTGTGACAACTTTTAACAGCACAAACTTGTCCTGCTTTTCTTTCATTTGTAGTTCTTATCAACTTCAAACACAAAAAACTCTAAAAACATTGACACTGAAAAAACTAATTTGCAAATATAGTCGTGACTACGTGACTTGATAGTAGCCGACTAATATCAATAAAAGCGCCACTGCTCTGCCACAGTCTCCCGGGAAGGCGGAGCTAAATCAATGCGCGTAGAGTTCGGCGCAAACCGTTTCTGCTATGTGAGTCCCCGAGCTGGTTGTTATGGTAAGCTGTGTCCGGGGCATGCGCACATGAAATATTTTTAATAAACTACAATTTGTTTGGCTCTTTTTATGTGTTTATCGTTCTTCCATACTTATGTTGATTTTGTTAGTTGTTTTTTAGTTATATTAGTATATTAAAGTATAATCTAATTTAATTGTTATTATAAGACCGTAAGTCTGGGACCCACTTAATGTACCAATTTATTGATTTAATAACTTTTATAAATTAAGTAGTGTTAAAATTCTAAATTTTGATTTAAAAATCTCTCATTTACCAATTTGTAAAACTGTTCAAATATTAACCCCAAAATTGAATTCGTAATTTTTTTAAAATAAATCTTGATTTATTTATCTTTTTTTTATTTTATTTAATATCTTTGTATGTATTATTCATGGAAAAAAATAGTTTTTTTTAAGCTTTTTACCTACATTCCACTAAACTTCATACCCTTATACCAAATCCAATCAGTTTTAAAGTTTAACCATTATAAAGTTTATTGCACACCACATCGGTTAGTATTTCATTATTTTTTTATAATTAGTTATGATTTTATCTTTAATAAGATACGCCACTGGTATCAACAGACTTTTAGTTGCGTCTTCTTTCGATCCGCATAAAATATCTTCTTTCTCTTTTCCGATGATTGGGACCAAACAAAACATACTTTATGAATGAAATGCATCATCTTTTGTTTCTTTTATCTAAGTTTTATTCTCTTTCTTGACGGAACCCCCCCCCATAGTTCTCAAAAACCCCTCCCATGAAAAATAGCTGACTACGCCACTGTAGCAGATTATATTCACTAAACCCATGTGCACATAATTTTTCTCCAGTTGCCAGTAGAAATAAACATTGTCAACAATACACTTCTTTGTTTTACGGATTAATTTGACATTATTTGAAATTGTAATAGAAAATTTTTTAAAAATTCATCTGACATTTCTATGATTATAACAGACTTTTTGTCGAAATGCTTCACAGTACTCTCCTTAAGAAGCTGAACGTAAAGCAAGTTGTTACGACCCAACGGTCGACTCCAAGATTAACTAACGTTTTTGAAAATTTTAGTTACATTTTGTATTCCCATGTTGCTGCTAAAACCGTGCGACAGTCCTTGAAACAGGAGTTACTGAAAAGCGCACGCGGTCGTGATGTGACCTCCATAAAGCTTTTTAATTTTAAAGATGGTGTGAAAGGTGAAGAATTGTTTCCATTGGAAGTGACACCGCAAGAAGAAGACAAAAAAGTATTACAAAAGGCTAGTAATTGAAAGAAATATAACATTTTTTATATAAATTATTTGATGTTAATATATTGTATTTAAATATTTTGAGTTTTAGTTAGATTATGGAGTAAGTAATAGTTATGATAGTAACATGAACATATTTTATGATCCAGGTAAACTACCACTGGAATAATATAAGCAGGCAGTAAAAGATTTGTCTTGTATGGTAATATGTATGGATTTAAAACAAAGAAAGCATCACTTTATTTCAGATTAAAACGCACGCAATTGAATTATATGCAAGATAGACAGGTAGACCCTTGGTTAAAACATTTCAGTCAAAGCTGGTCTGAAAAAGACATTGGAACTATTAATAAAAAAGTGAAAAGATTGTATTTAGAATATGCAAAACATCAATATCATTTTCAATGTTATCCAAAGAAAAATTCACATCATCATCTACAGGTATAACTTCATAATCTTTCTCACCAAACGAAGATGCAAATTCTTTTATAATATTGTCAAAATCAATTTTATCAAGGATATCTTGCTCCATAGCTAAGATTGCCAAACCCGATAATCTTTCTTGTGACATAGTAAACCTCAAATAATTTTTAATTATTTTTAATTTTGAGAAGGATCTCTCACCAGAAGCTACAGATACAGGTAAAGTAAGCAGGATTCTTAACGAATTATCATCGAGTATGCGTTTTTGTAAACCAGTATGTTTTCCGCGCATATTCGCCCCATTGTCATACCCTTGACCTCTCATGTCTTTAATATCTAAATTCAAATTTTTCAAAAGTCTAACGACAAACTCAAAAAGGGTTGAACGTTATGAAACTCTTGTATTTGAGCCTTTTTAGAAATGTCATTTAGAACGAGGCTTATTTGCTCTGTATGACTTGTATCCGGTGTACAGTCTAAAATTATTGAATAATATTTGGAACTGCGAACCATATTTAAAATATTATTTTTTACTTTAGAACACATTAATTCAATAATTCAATAATCATCTCAACAACTTTGAAGAAGTTTCCATTATCAAATTCAAAAAGTATTTTAGAAGAACCTTGGAATGCTAGACATTGTCTGGAAAAAAATTTAACAACTGCAACAATTCTTTCCAGAACGTCATGCCAATATTTTTTTTCAGTTTCTAAAACCCTTAAGTGATGATCGTTTACGGTTGTGGATAATTTTAATATTTTTTTTAAATTCATCCATGTCGATGGCTCAATCAAAAACCGCCACAAGTCAAAAAACAAGGAAAATTACATTTTTGGTTTAATGGATGTAAAATATCATTGAGTTTTTATTTTAAATACCGCCACAAACCAAAATATCCTTAGAAATGCATAAAAATCATTTAAAATCTAGACACAACTCAAAACTGTATCTAAAACTGCCTCAATTCGGGTTATTTTCTGAAAAAAACAGTCATTTTCTTTACAAACTACGCCATAACTCGAGTTACGGCGCTTTTATAATCGAAATCGTTAATTTTAACAGCAAAATGTCGTAGCTTTTAAGTAAAATATAAAGATTTTATGTCAAAAACAAAATAATTATAATAACTACTTACAAAATTTCAATGTGAAATTTCCTTAGATTAAAGAGACCGAAGATGTAACATTGCACACTGCGCATGTTGTCTATTTTAAGCCAAAGTAACCCACCAATTGAAAATCATTGTTGCACGACGCCACCCGAATTGCTGCGATTTCCATTCAGCGATCACCTCCACCTGAGTTTAATCACCATTGACAGCTGTTTTTTGATTTATTTGTTGGTATTTTAGCAATTTAAAGTGTTCTAGTTATTCAATTTCAAGTTCAAAATGTCACGTTGTATCTTGAAAAATTGTATGTACTTATAATACAAGTACTACTGTTATGAATATATTCGTTTTCAGCGGTAAATATTTATTAACGTTTTGACATAAAGCGCCATGATTCTCTGGGCTGAATACTTCAGATCCGCATTAAGGGGTTTCAATAAATATTAAGCATCAGAAATCAGTTTTCATATTACTTACATAAATTTACAAAAGAGTAAAATTTTGAACATTTAATTTAAATAAATAGTAAATAGGCATTATTGCTAACGAAATTTTGTATTTAAAAAGTAGTTTTATAAGAATGTTTTCTAAAGGTAGTTTTTAGCTCTTTTTGGTAAATAAATAAGAGGTAAAGAATCATAGTTGCTAGCTAAATTTTATTTTTATAAGGTATTTTTATAACAATATTAGATGAAATACAGGATGACCTACTTAAAATTTCAAGGTTCATCTTATTTGCGGTCAAATCGAAAGTGACATTGAATTTTCAGTCTTAAAACAAAGTAATCTAGTATAAGCCCAAAAAAAATACTTAAGTTACAGGAGTTAGGTCCGATTCCACCGTTGTGTTAAACGGAGATTAAAATGACAGTGTTAATGTAAAAATGTCATTTTAAACTTCGTTTAACACAACGGTGGAATCGACCCTTAGTCACGTTAATAAAATGTTACATTACAAACCACTAAACAAATCGAACATAATTTTCGTTTACTAAAAAAAATCCAAAATTTAGCAATATTTATTTATTATACAATCGAATGCGATTTCAAAGATAACTGGATCAAAAAATCCGAATCTCTAAATTTTGGAGCTAAATGCTCAGATAAAAGCAAGCGACCGATAGGGGTTACAAAAATAATCGATTTATCGATAATTCTGATATTTTTTAATGAAAATCGATTTATCCGCTGTTTTTAATAAATTATTTTCGTTTTTTTTAAAGATAATGTATTAATCGATTTTAAAGGAAATACAAAAAAAGTAGATTTATTCAAAATAATCGATTTATCGTTTAATCGGTTTTTTAATTATTTGATTATTTTCGATTTTTCGAAGATATTATATGAAAATAATCGATTGAATATAATCGGTTATTTTACATAATCGATATTTTTGTTATTTTTTTAAAATTATCGATTTATTGGATAATCAGCTTTTTAATAATCAATTATTTTCGATAATCGAATAATTAATTTCAAAGAAAATATGAAAAAAGGATTATTAGAAAATAATAGATAATTCGTTTTATTTTTTGGAAAATCGATTTATCATAGAATCGGCTTCTTAATTAATTGGTTATTTTCGATTAGGCGATTATTTTGGAATTATTGATTATTTTTGGTATTTCAAAGATAATCGAATTATCGATTTCAAAGAAAATACAATAAAAATAGATTATTGATAATAATCGATTGATCGAAAATAATCGATTATTTAAAATAATCGATCATTCTGTTTTTTTTTTGAAAATCGATTTGTCAGTTAATCGACTTTTTAATTAATCGATTATTTTTGAAATACAATAAAATAGATTATTGGTAATAATCGATTTATCATAGAATCGGCTTCTTAATTAATTGATTATTTTCGATTAGGCGATTATTTTGGAATTTTCGATTATTTTCGGTATTTCAAAGATAATCAAATTAACGATTTTAAAGGAAATACAATAAAAATAGATTATTGATAATAATCGATTGATCGAAAATAATCAATTATTTAAAATAATCGATCATTTTGTTTTTTTTTTAATCGATTGATCAGTTAATCGACTTTTTAATTAATCGATTATTTTTTTATTAATCGATTATTTTCGATTTTTCAAAGATTATCGAATAATCTGTTTCCATGGACGAAAAAAAATGGTTTATTTGAAAATAATCGATTATTTAAAATAAACGATAATTCTATTTATATTATATTTTGTAAACACTGATTTATCGGTTAATTGGCTTTTTAGTTAGTCGATTTTAAAGGAAATGACAAAAAATATATTGTTTGAAAATAATCGATTGATCGAAAATAATCGATTATTTTCAATGATCGATAATTTATTTCGATAATCACTCATCCCTAGCGACCAAATGACTTTTAATAGATTTAAATTTTAAAATGTTATCTGGTACAGACATATGCGTTTCTAGAGTTTTATGTGACTCATCCTTTATAATAATTAATATTTCTAAAGAAAGAAGCCTTAATATACTTTTTTCTGAGGTTACAATACAAAACAGCATTTTCTCATTTTGACTAATTTTTAATAATATGTAATAGCCGTACAAAAAATATAATGTTCAACTCATAAGGGTAGATTCGCAGTATTAGCCTGCGCACATGCTATTTTTATAATACTCGTAGACAATGAGTAACATTTTTTGCTCTATTAACAATATATTCTATTTCAACATTTTACTGTAATCTCTTGCAGAAAAGTCCGTAGTAAATAAACGCTAACGAAATATTCTATAAAAGGTCTTCTCTTTACATAAAATGTCGTGGCATCTGTTTGATATTAAAAAATCACGTTAATTTTATTTCATAATACAAAATTCGATTAAACACCTTTTAAATAAACCTGATAGTTCATTAAGATGCTAATAAACAAAGTCCGGTCCCTGTCACAGAGTTCGGGTCGCCGCGTGTCGCCGCCCAGTTCCCCCACTCCGTTAACCCTTCTTTAGAAATTGGCAACATTTGCGCAGGTTTAAAACCGGTGTATGTTATATCTCTGGTCTCTTTTATCTAAGGAAATTTCTCAAAACAATAGTATTTTAGTTGTGGCAGTATTTGATTGAGCCATCGATGTATTCATGTGAACATTATGTACAATTGATGTTTCATGTTTTTTATGGCTAAGGGCACATGTTGCCAATCATAAAAACCATGAGTATCAGAAAAACTATTGACTCTATTTCCTAGTTTTCTGACAAAGTACTTACTTGAAAATGTTCTTTTGTCTTTGTCTTTATTAGCTGGAAATTAATAATTGTTTCTTATCAAAGGAGGACCACGATCAACCAATATTCTGACTTCGCCTTTGGTAATACTTTTGGGCCATAAACCGGAGTCCTCTCATATAAAAATACTAGTATTCTCAGTCACCGCTTCAGTAGAAACTTCATCGTCAGAAGTGTTACTTGTAGCCGTCTTTGTTGGGATGCTCGATTCTATAGAAAATATATTTTCGATAAGTGATGATGATGTTGCAGAAGATGGTGGTGCCGCCGCTTCAGAAACTATATTTTCACCTTCCTCT